CCCAGGGCTGCTCTGCGCCGCCGCGCACGGCCGTAACGCTATACCCTAAACATAAACGCGCTCCAGCTAGAGCTGCTTCTCAGTGCCTCAACAAGGGCACTTTTCATATTGCTGCTGACCAAACTGCTGCGCATTTTTGCTCTACTTCAGTATCATTCAATACTCTCTTGACTTTCAAAGAGGTGCTTAACAGAAAGCAACACTCAGGAAATAAACAGCGCTTGTTGGCTGCCATTCTGGACCCATTACATGCTTCAGGATAATATATGCCAGTACTTATCTGTCTGTATGTACACGACAGTTGTAGTTTCCTCTGTGGTCAGGGATCTCACTGTTTCCTTCACATCCGTGCTATATTTTGCATTTGTTTTTAAAGGAAGGCTGTTTGGTTCACAAACCTTACAGACAGAAATCACTAGAGAGTCTGAAAAATGTGGAAAAGCCTCCAAGAGTTCTGATCCTTAACCACAAATCTGGACTATTTTTGAAACTACATCTACCTTTCTGCTATTCTTTGCCTCAAGCACAAGCTCCAACCTCAGCTCCCAACCCCCTGATTATGCAGCCAAGGTATGTTCAGTTCTCGGCAGTCTGTTCCCCCATGCTGGACTCCAGTCAAATCACATATTTTCTCAGGAAGGGGTGTCTGTTCTCCTTATCCTGTGGATGGACTGTGATCTGCTTCTATAATCAACAAGCATCTCTTTCCTACAAACCAGTCCCGTCCTCCTCTGCTACCCTGGCCGCCTCAGTGCACTGTCACCTACCGGGATGTCACCACTGGCACCTCTGAAGCACAACCAGGGACTACCCAGGCCATGAAGAACAACCACAAACTCTCAGTGAGCGTGGGAGCGCAGAAGGGATCAGCAGTAGATGTGTCCAAGATTCGCATTTTCATCAAAAAGGAATAAAAGGGCAGCTGAGTGAGGGATGGCTTTATCTAGGGAACGTAGCGCGCTCTTGGAAATAGGCCCAGGCTGTAGCTCTGCAATTACATGTAGGGCCAAAAGGATTTAAGGGAAAGAAATGGCAGCGGCTGTGGAAGTGGTCTGCTGAAGAAACCCTTTCTGGAGCTAAGCAAGGCAGCCTGAGTGCAAAAGAGTCCTCACAATTTCATAACATTCTGCAGCAAAGCAGAGGGAAAAAAAAAAGGTTATTGAACTAAGTTGTGAAGTATTTCCATTTTTAAAGGACTGGCAGAACTAGGGCACAGAGAGATGAAATATTTGCTTTTTACCCAAGTTCAGGAAAGTAAACCATAGCATATCCACTCCTTGACACTAGACCTTTGCTACACTTACACATACACCACTCCTGTTTTGGAGAATTTAGTTCTCTTTCTAAAATGCTAGTATTGTTTTGAAGCAGGTTAGAAAAAAGGGGATGCCAGAAGACCCCAAGCACTGTTTCTTCCCCAATTTACTCATCTCCTCATTAAAGAGGTATTACATTTTCAAGCATCATTTGGGGATACAGGTCACAGTTACTCAATTCCCTATCATCAGGTTGGAATCCATTAAACAAATAGTGGATAGCACTATTAGCAATGATAAAGTTGCAACTCCATCACTAACAAGCTGTTATGGTCAGATACTAAAGAGTTCTTAAAACAACAAAAACTTCTCTATATTCATACGCAACTTTGACTAAGCAACCCAGAATGAATTTGGGATCATGTTATACCTATACGCTGACAGAGTTCAAAGACTGGCATGATCTGTTTTCTGCAGAGAATCCAAGATAAGAAAACTGATATGGAAAGCCTTTTCGGTAATAGCCATGCATGTGTAAAAAGCACACAGATATGCAGAAAAGACATGATCTTCTCTGGCTAGCAAGTACCACAGACAGTGAGGAATCAGTTCTGACCTTCTCCCTGCCCCTATCTCCCTCTCTGGATTTGCGCGGTTGTGTTATGCAGAAAGAAATACTCCTTGATCCCTCTTCAGGAAACAGTGAAATGTCCTTCCTTCCCTTCCAAGAAGGCAGCAAATAACATGGAAAGATTGCTTTTCTGGTATTTGGGGATTTAATCAATCCCAGTTTAAAAAATTTAATCAACTGGACCCAAAGTCAATCTGGATTTAATGATCAGGTTCATCACTTGATGAGCAAAATAGAAGAGAAAGGCAAAAACAACAGGTGAGCATTTCTTAGACTATTTGTTAGCAATCTCAGGGAGAATCTTTCTGGTATGGTTTATGTTTTGAGTCACAAGGACCTCTAAATGCAGAGTTCTCTGATGCCATTCAGTTTTGAGGAGCTGAAGATGGCTACAAGAAGTTAGTAAGAGAGAAATGGCTAAATCTGGGAAGGTTGATGCACTTTACCCCCCATCCTCCGGTGAAAGAAATGATCTTAAAGCAATAAAAGACAAGAAATGCAGACAGCATGATCATTACAGGCTCATTTTCCCTAGAGAATAAGCATTTTCATTTTAGCTCATTTATATTTGAGGTTAAAGAACTTCCCACAGACTGGGAAAGCAAATGCATCTTCAATACAATAATTTGGTTTATATGCAATACCAAATGGACTACTCCAAATCTGGATATATAGAGGTATCAGTATTTTAGGGTTAGAGAAATTGGTTTCCTTCCCTTCTAAATGATCTGGTCATATACTTTTTGTGTGAAAGTCTCCTATCACTAAAACAGATACTATAAAATACAATGTTGGTTCAACACTGATGAGCCAATTTTATCTTGCACAGCTGTTACATTGTTCAGGAAGGGAAGCAATTCACATTTCTGCTTACCACTGCTCTAGAAAGGTCTGCTCAATCAACATTTACACCACTCTTCCTTTAAAACAGTCTTTGAAATTGCTAAAACTGGTATCTCAGAACTGATATTTGAGGAAAGCTATTTTCTAATAGCTATGCTTAATAAGGATTGAACGGAAGAACAAAGAAATTGGTCAGTAAAAGCCTTCTGGATGCTACAGGCACATGCAAACCCAAGCACATCTGCACTGAGGGGAAGCAGAGAGTTTTCTGACAGACTGCATATACCTTTCCAGGTAGGCAGGGACCACGCTGACTTATTACACACATCCCCTCCAGAATAATTAATGTTGAAGAAGTCTGCTGGAGGTAATCTAATCCAAACTGCCACTCAAAGCCGGGCCACTTAGATTACGATCTCCAGCTCAGTGGCCCCCAAAGTATTGATTTAAATTAATACAAGCTCAGGGAAGGTTAAAAGGCCTAACAATAATACAATACAAAGAGGATCAAAAGACAATATGCATGTATATTTTAATGGATTTATAGGTAGGCTTTACATGGGATGAGACCTATGAAAGCAGAAAAAAAATACATAAATTATTGTATTATGACACCAAAATAGGGAAATTTGTCAGAGCATTTTGTAGCTGCTTTGAAAAATGATGGACTTTTTGAAAAGATGTCTGAAAGTGGTAAACTAAAACTTAGTTCTTACAGCATGATTTATAGTTCACCCTATCTGGGGACTGGCAGGTAGAGGAGAGGTGGGATAGGGTGTGCAGAGAGCTTAGGAGCAAAGTTCCCATACGAGGACCTGGAATGCTCTCGTGCTTATGCTTGACAGTCATAAACTCTGGAGACTGGGAGAACATGCCACAATTCCAGAGAAACAGGAATCCTGAACGTGAACTAACATCTCCAGCAGAAAGGCCAGGTACGAACCGAAGAGATTTGCTAACACACGTGTGTGGTTTGTAACTGCCAGGGCACAGAGCTCCCTGTGGGAACCGCGTCACCAGGAAGTGGGGAACGGCCTTTATTTGCATCCAGCACGTGAGGAGCGGTGAAGAGGAGGCCAATAACCCCACATCCACACACCCTGCAGACATGCAGAGCCACAGCCCCTGCACAAGCAGCACCAAGCACATGGCGCTTTTGATAGTTTTACTAATCTCACTCTAACTTTGAAATATTTCACAGCCCTCCAAGTAGGAGCAGGAATCTAAAATAAGACCAGATCTTACCAGCTTCATCGTAATTGATGCTTGCCTAGGACTGTTTAGGAGCATGCAAATAATTAGTAACCAATCAATATGGTTTAATTAAGGAAAGTGCTGTCTTGCTAACTGCTAAATTCCTTAGCCTCGTTACATCTATAGCAACTTACTGACAAAATAACCTCACAGAAAAATCCAGGTGACTAGAATAGGAATGAAATATTTAGCCTTCTACAGCAATTTCGGAGGTGCCCAATTCAATTAAGAATGTTTTCTTATAGGTTTAATTTCCTACACCCACAAAATAGTTTTATAAGAGGGCTTGAATTACCTGTTCTGAGGTCTAGAGAGAATTGCCTGGTATTGGTTTTATCATAAAGAACAATTCCAAAGCAAATATAAGTAATGGAAGTAGGCTGCACTAGTTAAATATTTTAATAGGTAAAATATATTCAACAATCATTTTAAATATTTGCAGTGCTTTCCTGGGAGCTGGGCAGGGAGAGGTCTGCTGTGGTGAGCTGGGATGGGGAACACGGCTCAAACTTCTCTCATCCCCAGACCCCACTCACAAATAACAAAACCCAAGAGCTTCCCACTCCGCCTAGTGGGTCTGCATCCAGTCCTGTCCACGCGTCTCATCTTCTCTGCCCGGAGGGGACATTCCATCTTTTTTTTTTTTTTTAATTACTGCGGAACTTAATTTTTGGATACATCTGAGATAAGTGACAGTTCTCATTTCCCCAGTATTTGTCTGGATGCTAGATGCATGCTGGAGATGAGATGAATATTCATCTTATGCAGAGACTCTATATCCCATTTAAGCCATTCAGTGCAGGTGTGGAATTCACTCCAAAGAATACTTCACCCTCATAGAAATTCCTCCCTTAACAAAGATGTGATCAGCTCCCATAATCCAAACTTAAACCTCATTTCTGAGTTTAGCTAAAGGAGTTTAAGCAAATCAGATATGCCCATAAAATCGGATGCTGGTAACATTGGAGCTATGCATATACAGGAAGAATTGGCAAGTTTGAAACAAATTATCTTACCTGTTGTGTCAATGCTGCTCTTGCTGGACACAATTTTCAACATCATCTTCTCACTAAATAATAAAAAGAAAAAACATAACTTTAACTTTCTAATAATCACACTGTGTAGTGAAGCTTATCATCAGTAAATGTAAATGGCCTTGTCTAACATATATATTTTTAATTTAAATCACCAGTAGCTTGTGAGTTTTTTTTTCAAATCAGCTTTAATACAAGTTAAGCAAGGAGTGGTATATTAGCAGTAGAAAGCACAGAGATGATTCCTTTTAACAGAAAGAGCAATGCAGTTAATCTCTATTTATTGTTTGAGATCATTTTCCTCTCTGCCTAGAATTTTCATGGGGATGATAAAGATAATTTTAAAATGATTGAGCATTCAGGATTTTTTATGATTACATTCAAATATTATTTTTGATTGGTTACTAAAATCATTACAGAGAAACAGATTTAATGAATTCTTTTTTTACCTAGAAGCATCTTTGCTATTACTTGTATTTGGCCCTTTAAAAAGCGCAGACTGAACAAGACCAGTTAAACTGGCAATCTGTTTCTCCATGGCTTGTATCCTCTCTCTGTAAGACAAGAGAACCGTTTGTTAAAGCCAGATATATTTGCTTTCAGACTTGTTCTTCTAGGTGAATGATTACCACAGGACCGGAAAGATGCTACAGGGTTTGTGCTCATGGGTATCCGTTTGCATGTACCTTGTTGCAACGGCTTACGGCATCTCGGTTTGGACAGCTTTTGCATGGTAACAGACAGTAAAAAGACATCTGCATGGTTAAAAGAAAAACCCCAGATAATAAACTGCTAGTGATCTCACAAAAACGGCACCTAAAACAATAAGTTAATGCCTCTTGGAACTCGTGAAACTCATTTTTCCAGCATTACATATGTTTTCTCCTTTCTCTGACTTCTACTGGGCAACAGTTTTTCCTGCTTCTTGTTGCTATTTTTACTTTCCCCCAAATCAGGATTTTTGTCCGTGAAACATTTAATCTGCCCAAACTGACTCTTTCCAAGGCCAAACCCTTTGTACTTGTCCTACAACTGTCTGCTCTGGAAAGAACAGCAATGTGACAGACGAGGCACAGGACACCAAATACTGACTGTGCAGCAAAATGATATTAGAATGGACAGATTTGTTTAAGGCCATTGTTTCTCATGAGATATGAAGATACCAAATGAGAGCAATGACATTTTTGGGATAGAAAGACTAGCTTTTGTGTGTTTAGCTTTGCATGCTGTTACATGATCAGGGATCAGGGATACAGGGATCAGGGCCTTGGTAGCCCCATACCAAACCAATGATGCATATGGTAGGCAGGGATCAGGTGCCTGCCTTGGTAGCCCCATACCAAACCAATGCGTATGTACTCTCACGTGCCACTACGGCAAGGGCCCCCTACAACACAGCCACACACCCACAGGGAACCTCAGACAGGGCCTTCTGAAAGTGGGTCCTTATATGACACCAGTTAAGCGACTGGGGAAACACACAGAAGCAGATGCATAGAACAGGCTGTGATGTTGGGAGATGACCTGAGATACAACTTCTCAAAAAGCAGCGGCCACGACTCATGAAAGACGAGAGGCTGCGCACCCAGACCAGGCTGTGAGAGGTGGCACCATCCACCCCATGGTCAGGGTGCCGCAGGGACCACCCACTGCAGCCAGGTGACCCAGGTGCAGGAGCAACGAGCGCTGCCTCCAGCACCAGTCGCAGTTTGGTGGCCAAAACAGTGATGTTCTTTGATAAATACAGGGCCAAAGTGAGCTGAAATAACACAAAGAGTAACCAGGCAAGTTCCTAGTCAACCAGGTTGACTAATCCAGACTATTTCATTGACACTCTGGGAATGAAATAGAGGTTTACTGGGACAGCAAGCAGATGGGAGACACTGAGACATGCCAGTGTAAAGGAAAATGGACAGTAGGACAATTAATGAGATGCTAAACACAAAGGGTGCAATAAGAGACCGCTCACCCAGCCCTCAACCACCTGCCATGCCCTTACTGCAGTTTCATATGGTCTGCACTGCCTTCTTTTCTGTCTTCGTGTAGAAAGATATTTTGAACAGTGTTGAGAAGACTAGTTGTTCTGAGCTAATTCATTTCAAACCAAGAAATATGTTACAGAATTTCCACTATTGTAAGTTTTAAAAGAAGAATCTGGTTCAGGCTACAGTAGATTTTGGAATGAAAACAAGTACTGAAAGTCTGGGATAAATATATTCTAACCAATGTTAATGCAGCATTTTTGACACTTAATAATGAAAACATTTTTTTTCCCAGATAATCATCACAAGCCCTTCCTGGAACTAAACTCAATTGGAAGTCTATCTGCTTTACCAATTCATAAATATGATGTTTTTCCCATCCCACATTTGATAATCTGGAAACAATTTTCTGCTTCAAATGAAATTATGGAAACACAAAGCTGATCTTGTCCTTTGCCATGAAATCTAGGAAAGTATGTTGTTAAGATGCAGAAGGATGTTCCAAAGATTGGAGATGATAAAAAAAAGAATGAAATACTGGAATCAATTGAACAGAGAACATTATTTTTCATATGGTAAAAACATTAAGAATGCAAAGAATCTATGTATGTTCTGGAGTTATTCTGCTAGAGACAAGGCAGGATTTTTCTCTTTTTTTTTCTGCAATTTTTTCATTCTAATACCTACACTCTTTATGATCATTGACACCAAATATTTCTAAAACAGGTGTCTGAAATGAGGCACCTTTTAGGAATTCAAGTGACCTGATTTTCAGAGACTTTGCAGTTTGACTGAAATCCACGGAGGACCCTGTGCCTTTGCAGAGCTGGCAGCGAGAAGCAGCACCAGCTTTTCACACCAGGCCGATGACAGGGGCCTGCCCCACGCTGCTGTAAGCGCCAGTGTCACATCTCGTGGCATGGTCACATCAGCGCCACATCTCATGGCACGGACTGCGCATCCCTCTGAAGAGGAGGAACAGGCCCTCCTGCTTTTTCCACAATTTCCTCTGCTTCCCACATGAAGGGCTGGCAGCAGCCCCAGTTCCCAACATCACGGTGGGCCAACGGAGTTGGAGGGAGAGAGTGAACATTCTCCTCAGCCTTTGTCAGAGTTGCAGTGCTTTTACTGCAATAAAACTTGAACATTTTTGATTCTAAACATTATATTCCGTACCTTGCCCCTGAAGTTAGGCCTGCAGGGTTGAACTGGACTCAGCTACGGGCCCACACCAAGCACGAGCCAAAACCCATGGGGACTGGAAGGCCAGGAACCAAGGAGCTGCAACTTGCGCTTCATCTTCTTTAGACACGCTGATGGCTGGAGGAACATGCTTTACATCACTGCTAGCTCTGCTTCCTTTGCAGAGGAAGCATCAGCAGGACATAAACCTTGGTCCCTCCCTACGGCTCAGGATAAATCTGCACCCCTTCACCATGTAGGCAGAGCGGGGAGGGACACTTCTCCACAGGTAGGAAAGAACTGTCTGTTGTTTGGGGCTGGCATTTGAGGGCACTGCTCTGTGCTGCTCCTACAAGCACTGGAAGAGTCCAACCAGAGAGGTGGAGGAGGACAGGAGGGGACAAGATCAGAAGATGCCGCCGGTTCCAGCAGGCTGCTCAGACAGGGTTGGCTGTGGCTTCTCAGAGAGCTCTGCAGCAAAGGGTGCAGGAGATGCTCACCAGGCCTGTCTCACTGCTCCCGTGCCCGCGCACACGCGGGGGCTCCGGCCCTGCCTGAGGATCTCCCTCTCCAAACTCAGTACAACCAAAACAAGCCCTTGCTCACCTAGGATCTGCACTGAGACATCAGATTTCATTATTAGATTCCTTCCCTGCACTTTCTTTGAGGTTTCACGTCATTCCTGTAGTGCAACTAACTGGACGTAATCCCAAGCAGGGTACATTGCTAAATCAGTACCCACTGCTCAGCACAATGTTATCCAAGTGCGAGCTGCATGTGCCTTCCCTCTCCTGAGGACATCTTTAATACTCACATCATTGAGAAGACGCCTCATGCTTTGTACAGGCACAAACTAGAAACTGGGCTGTGTACCTGTTCATTCATGTTCATATCCCACCCCAGGCTGGGCAGTGCATTGTCCATAATAGACACACTCAAACACCAAGTCTGACAGCATGAGCTAATTAAGAAGCTATCCTGGAGAAAAATTCTGAGTGATTTCATATTTTATAGTTAAACTGAGTAGAATCTGTACTGTAATCAAAAGGTTAGAGAGGGGAAAAATGCATTTCTTCCTACATAACCCTATGAGAGAAATTTCTTTTTTTTTTTTTTTAAATCTTACTGGGAGAAAGAAAAGGCAGGTTATCTATGTCGGAGATTAGACATTTCAATCTTCTAAAAATAAGGTTAAATTCCAACTTCTTAAAGTCTGAATTTAAGGCAAAAAAAGGAAGCTCTGAAGCACAGTACCATGTGTGATATTATTTTACAGCTCTAGTTCAAGAGCTGGCACCTCACATTCCTCCAGATTGTTCCCGCAAGAGTGGGAACCTGAAGAGCTGTTTACTCGTCCTCCATCCTGTGTTGGTCACCCATGATCGTCCTTTTTGCCCTATCATCCAAGCCCTTTCACAAAGCAAGATGCAATCCTGGCCTTCTGCAAAGGCAAATTGCTTCTAGCTGCCAAGACATTTTATGGAAGCTTCTAGATTGCAGAGCCCAGGCCACATACGTATGATGGGTGCAGCAGGGACAGGTTTCTTATGGTCAGCAGTGGTCCTGGAGATTGATGATCACTGCTCCATCTCCAGAAGCAGTGACTGCCCCCTGCTCCCTCCCGGCTGCAGAAGGACACTGAGGGCAGAGCGTCCACTGGGAACTATTCCCTTCCCAAGCATCCCTGTAGAGACTGATCATTCACCAAACCTGACATATTCAGAAGGGAAAATTCAAAGTTTTCCTGAAACTGATATTCTGGAAAAAAATTGCTATTATTAAAAGCACTTTCCCGCCCCCCCGCAATCTATTCTGCTATCACCACAAAGCCCTTGAGAAACAAGGCCCTGAAAATATCCACCATGCTTCTCTCAGTTGGTTTTGGACTCAAAAGACTGTTTGAGAGGGCATATTTGCAAGGGCTAGCAGCAACAATACTCAGCACATCACTGTTGTCTTTGCAGACCATGAATTCGGTAAATATTTTTTCCTAATGAATAGCAGAGTCCATCCATTCTTAAAGGTATCAAACAATAAAGCATTTTTATGATGGTAACAAAACACAATATCCCGAATGTGGCTGTGACACTTCAGTATCTAAACGCAAGCCACAAGTGGTGAATGTGATCACATCTGTTGTTCCATGAACCACGTTCTACCATCAACTCTTTCCACTAGTATGTGACATAAAAAGAAGAGGACAAAAGGTGTGCTTGGGCAGAAAAGCATCCGCAGTCTGGTCCTGAAATGCTTTGGAGGAAAAGTGATGTATAACCTTACTTTGCTGTTTTAGAGACTGTGGTAGTGGGTAGCAGCATTTACATGTATTCAGCACTATCAAATAACCTACAATTTTGCAACACAAATTGTGTTTTGCATGCAAAGAATGCAAGTTAAATGGTATTTAATACAGCTAGTTTAGAGTTACTTTTGGAAAAAGAACTTATTTTCCAATTTCTCAATATTTAAACATCTGCTCTGCCAGCAGTAACTTCCAGAACTGTCCACCAGAAGCTTTATAAATGGTCTATTCAAAAAAATGATAGCAAATCACTGTTTAAACAGCTCGTGGTTACTCACAAAAATGTACTTATTCTTCCTTTAAACCTCAGCTTTAAGGAATGACGACTGTTTGGAGATGAGCTATTGCAACCTGTTACTACTTTAATGTCTTTTGTGCATAGGAATACAATTGTATTTCACTTTTTGAAGTCTCCATGAACATCTTTCCTTTCTGTTTTAAATGAAATTCTTCTGGCAAATGAATTAGTATAAGAATTTATTTAGCGCTTTTATACCACAGAAGTAGCTACCTTGAAAACACCTGAGGTAAAACACATAAAAGAAAGAATTAGGTGAAGCAACCCACATACTAACCTCCCCCTAACTCAGGCTTAAATAACAGGTCTGACAAGACTGGCTTCCACAGTGCAAAAAGAAAAAGGGAAACTCTGAAAAGAAGAGATGAGAAGCATCAGTTTTCACCTTTTTCAGTCTTCTATGGGCTCAGAACCACTTCAGTTAGCGTTACAAAGGCAGCTGTCCCATTTTCTTCAACAAAACCACGTTGCAGTCAATAAGAGCTTCAAAGAAGAGGGGCATGAGATGCCCCTCGGCCTAGGCACCCTGCGCGGCGCTGGGGTGGGTGCTCATGGGGCTGTGGAGCTGCACAGGGACCTGCTGCTCCTTGTTCCACGCACGGCCGCAGCACCTCGGCCCTCGGCGCCGCCGGGACCAACCTGCGGCACCTGCTGCTTGGTTTTGACCAGGCCTGAAGAGGAGGAATTCAGCCCCACACCTCCAATCCCCAAGCACCCTGACGCACAGAGGTAAATGCATGCTTCAGGGTGAAATCAGCCAGGCCTACGCAGCGAGGTACAGGTGCTTTGCTACTTTTAAACCTCACTTTCTGAGTGTTTTTAATGAAATTGTAACAATTCAACCTATACTGAAGCAGGAAATTATCACCTTAGCCTGCATAAACTTAGCGCTTAGTGCTTTAGCACAATCTCAGTAATGTTTGTTTTCTGAGTTTATGAAATTATTATAAAGCTAAAATAATTTTTACAGCACTCAGTTCTTAATACTTCAGTGACTATAAAACAGACCTATTTGCAGTAATTGTTTTGGGTAATTAGATTCTTTTTTAATCACAATTTTTCCAGGTTCAAAAAAAGAGAGCCACAACCCATAAGAACAGTTCTCAGAATGAATCTTTCAATATAGTTTGGCTAATACGCACCCTGCTGAATTTTAAGAGCACGTATATATTTGGAAATGCAACTACGCAGATGCTATTTTCATCACTGTAAATACACTTCAGGAACAGTACTAAAACTCCTGGTGTGAAGCTCCCCTCAAGAAGCTGCAGAGCAATCTGTACAGTCACCCTTTGCATATTCACAAGTATGCATACACAAATACACTATGCATATCTGTGTATTTGAGTGTACAGATGAGATGTCCTAAGGGAAGAGATGAAGTAGCACAGACAGGAAAGTTGGTGTCCTCCCTTATTTTCAGCCCCTACTCACACGAACCTTGCAAAATTTTATCTGAAAGCCGTCTCTTGGAGTAGAAATAGCAAATATAGTACAACTTATTTCCTTATTTCCTAATGGAACTTGAAACAGGATGTCAGGTATAAGTATCATTTCCTCTGAAATAAATATAGACCAGGTTTCACTGACCCTAAACTGGATTAGCCCCTCACTCATACCCTTGTGCCAACATAACTACCATTTTTTTTTTTTCTTTTTCTTTTTGTGGATGGGTTATTTTCCTCCATCCTCATCTCTCTCCTAAGCAAGGAACATCACAACACATCCTTCTCTCTGGCCTCACAGGGTCAGCTGCAATTTATTTCTGAACAAGCGGCTCAGACGGAAAGGACACCCCGGGCTTTCACGAAGCTCCGTACCAGGAGTTCGGGCAGTCGGCAGTTACCTTTGGCCCTCGTGAGCTCAGCACTTTCCAGCTATTCGTCTTCACTTCCCTAAAGAGTGCCATAAAAGTTAACAGCACAAACAGCACACTCGAGATTAACACGCCAGCACACAGCACCCAACGGGCAGTGCAACCGCTTCGCTCCCCTTCGCGGACCTCGGCGCGAACCTGGTGCTTAGGGAAATGGAGGGTTCCAGCATGGTGCTGGAAAAGCCACTGGGAACGGCTGTCTCGTTGCAATCTCTTCCCTGGGACAGACTTGCTCATCTCAGCAATTTCCCCTCGAGGAACGTTATTATAAACAACTGTCCTATTTTTATGCAAATTCATGTTTTACAGGAGATGAGACAGTAATGATAAATTCTTCCCATTTCCTAACGCTAGATGAGAAAAAAAACTCACTCTATAAAGAACCAAAATTGTAATATCAGAGTGTCATTCTTAACGGGCGGTGAAATACATCTCCTTATTAACAGGGACAGAACATCATTTGTTCTTGTAACATGACTGGGTTGTCTGCAAAGAAAAACCCTCGTTTACTTCCTTTTTCCCAGTGGCTGAGTTTCACACAAATGGAAAGAAGCAGGGATTCATCACGGGTGGACCACACTTTGGGATAGAAACTGGGGCAGGGGGAGGTCGCACCTGCCCTCGGTCATGAACCCACTACCCCCCCGGGTGCCAGGCGGCAACACGGAGCGCGTGGACACGAGCGTGTCCCGCGCCACCTTACCTGGTCTCCTTGTCCTTGGGCATCGCAGGCGACCCGTAGCCGAAAGCCTGTCTGTCGGCCGGACTTGGCGCCACCTCGGCCATGCCCGTGAGACCCATGGCGCTCCGCGCCTTCGCCTCCACGTACACAGGCTCCTTTTTGAAGGACTGGCGGCCAGGAGAGGACCTGTCGGGCTGCATGGCGTGGGGGGGCACGTGGGCGTTGTGGTGAGGGTGCACGTCGACCATGCGCACGTCGGCCACCCGGTGGGGCGACGCTGGCGGTGTCTTGGAGCCAAGCGTGGGCAGGTGGCTCTCCGGGTACTTGCGGGATTTCTGTCTGTACAGGGACTGCTCCAGCATCTCCGGCGGCATGGTGGGGTTGCAGTAGGTGCTCGATGACCTCATGGCCCCACGGTGATAGGCCACGACGTGGTCAGGGACATCGAGGGGGTGCCCGGTGTGCGGCACTGCCACACTCATCCTCCCCTCGTGGAACAGGTAGGGGTCTCCATACAGGCCCTCGTTGCGGATCAGAGTGAGGTTTTTGCCGCTCATGTCCTCATCGGGCTTCACGTCCCTCCTCTCCAGGATGGCGCTCGGGCTGGGCGAGATGGACCG